TCCGCCCCTTTGAAGCATATTATTTCGATGAGAGCAGAGCGCCACTGGGCTTTCAACTAAATACACAGCCACGCAAAAACTGCGGCATTTGTACAGCTCCTTATGGGTACTGCAATTAGCTTAGTGCTTTCCTCCGTGGTGAAACGATCAGCACTGCACCACGGAGGAAAGCGGCAGAAAGTCAGCGGGGCTGCGTTGCGTATGGCTTCCTTCTGCAGGTAACGGGGAGACGCGCTCTGGCGGCGGTCTCGCTCAGGATCCGAAAATACAATTTAAATATTTTTGCACACTTATTCCACTTATTCCTAGTGTGCCACTGGTTACGGTGCCGCGTGCCAATGCTGGCACGCGTGCCAGGGGTTGCCGACCCCTGATTTAGACTGTTATGTGGTATCTTTTCAATTGATATTCAACTGTGTCACCAACCTGCTTCTCTTCCCCGCCCCTTGTCTTTGAGGTGTGACTGAAGTATTCTGGGAGCTCAGGGTCAAACCTCTCATGGAGAAAAAGGAGAAGCAGCTTTCATCCACTCAGCATGAAGAAGATGAACCCTCTTCAGCAGAGTCCTGTGCGTCAGCCAGGTCAAACCAGAGTTCTTTCACTCTCTTTAGTTCTTTGGCCAATCAGAGTTGTTTTTTAGAGTCAAGGCACCAATTACAGAAGCATGAGCCCACTCAGTGAGAGCTCTTACACTGAAGGGCCTATAGCTCAAGGAGAAGCCTCTTTAAAACACCAACATCACACACCAACCATTTCCCAACTTTACCAATGACAAGTCAGCTGACGGCCAATGACCATCCATCTGATAGGATTTAAAATAATACAATGATCAGAACAAAGAAGAGTTGAATCTCACTTAATTGTCCCTTTTGGCTCCCTGACAGACAAGATAGTGGCAAAAGTAACAAAAACAGGGATTTATTCAGGGGATAATACAGTATTTTGTAAGAAACAAATCTGAAGATGCTGCACTTCAAAATTAGATACAAATGTCTCGTTTCTTAAGCACAACAAAAGCAAAAAACCGGACTGTAACAGTGTAATGAAAGCTTGTTTTTTGACTGGCAGATTTCCGAAGATGCCTTTTCCTCCCATGCGTGTGTAAACACAACAGAGTGGGGAAAGAAATGTCCCTGTAAGGGATTAATAAAGTATGCTTCTTCTTGGCTACCGAAGCAGATATTGATCAATTGGCTGATTCTGACTGGTTAAGAGGAGTTAGGAATCAGCAGTCGATGGCATCCTAAAGCCATTAAAATTGATTTTTTGTAAATTGTGAATCACCACAACTAGGACAGGTCCCTAAACATACAGTCATTAATGAGCTTAAAACATATTAGGCTGACACTAGCTAATGAGATTAACTTCTAACAAACACTTTCACACGCGTCAACGTACACACACAAACAAACACATTATCTCCCGCAGGCTTAGGATGGGCGCAGACAATAACAGTTGAATAATTTTGTGTTGAGTTACATGTTCAATACGTGCAATATAATGTGAACGACAGCGAGATTGAAAATAGCTACTGTTAATGACTTCCTATGCACATTTGACTTCATACTCATATAATATTCATCACAACAAACCATCACTTCTGCATAATATCGTGATGCACATATATCAAATGTGTATGGGGAGGTTCAATTTGCGCATTATATCAGACCGGAATGCTTACTCATACATTTCCCGCAAACATTAACATTTTGATGTCAATTTCTTCGCCCTTGTCAAGTATAAATATTTATGAGGTCGGTGTGCATTCAGAGATGTGTCAAGAGGTTTTTTACGGAGGTTACACCGGAAGTCATCTATATAAATTAAACAGTGTTATTGATTTTCACAAATGTGTCTGATCCCCGTTTGGTTTGTCTGACTACTAATGCAGTGCAGAGGGGTTGTATGGGTGCAGGCATACAGAAATAATCTAGCTTTGATACGTAACATCACGCAAATATTTGGAAGATGTCAATTCAAACCACATCATTTGAAATGCAAGTGCTGTCGCCAAGGCCCACAACTTACTGAGGCAATGTATTTATATATCACTCCAAACTATTCAATCTATGTTAAAGCTAACTTTACTTTGTACATGTTTTATATATTTGGGAATACAGTACATGTACAAGATTTACCATTTTAGCTGGGAGGATAAAATAATAATAAATTAGATCTCTTTTCTTTTTTTAATTCCTCATCCACCTAAAACACATCAATACTTACTTCTTTTGTATTTTGCCAAAGTAAAACTCTCCGCTCCTCCCTCCACGACTCCTTTGAAGCAACTTCTGAGCATCAATATTTAACCTGACATTGTCAAAATCTAAAAAAAGAAATTATGCTGAAAGGAAGGCACATCTTTGAAGCATGTTTTCCTGTAGACCTGCACTGAGCACAGGACTGATTTCCTCTCTTTTTGAGTACAACAAAGACACCAACAGTGTGGATTACTCACCCATTTCATTCGTGTGCTCTTACAGAACCAATGGGAAAGGCAGAGCACTGAACAGGAGGGCAACTTGACATAGGTGACGGATCATTATTACATCGGACCCCATCCAAAATGAGATGATACATCTGAAGGAGTTTATCCTGAGATAATAAATTATCCACTCTATATCCTCATTTCATTTTCTGCTGACAGGGCAGCATTTATTCTCATGTCACATTTCATAAAGTGACAGAAAGCCACATGAAAAATGAAAAAAAGCGACTGACTATGTAGACACTTCAGTTAGTTCCTAAATTAAGTGTATTGGTTATTTTCAGGGGAGAGGTTGGGTTCAAATAAGTAATTAGGATGTAGGATTGGGAAGATTTATCCAAGGGAATACAACGTTCTGTCTCCATGTTGGCATTTGTGAACAGTCTCCTTAGACTAAAAACTGTTGTGTCAAATAGGGAGCTGGTCTTCTTTGTGGAGTGTGCCGTGTTGTTGTTTCTACAAGAAAGGACAAACATAACCCTGGCTCTAGGGAAGGGACTTTAGTTTTTTTCTATACTTGTAGGCACCATAACTTTCTTTGACAAGCAGAACAATGACAGTGCCGTGAGTTTCACATTTTCTTTGAAAAAGATTCAAATATAAAGAAAATCAGAAATTGAAAGGTCAAGATCCTATCTTTACTTTGTACTAGCCATGACCAACACAGTTTGAAATTAATCATTTAACAATGCAATAAGCAGACGTTTCCGCATGCAATTCGTATGACAGTGTAACTATTTCATCGGTTCAGTCTGAGGGCGTTTACGGAGTGCCATTTATTTTCTAAGAGTCACTCTCTAAAACATCGTCTAATTCTTACCATGAGGTCTGCTGTAATTTGCCTTACCTTGATCAAGAGCACTGTATGCATGGAACGGGATGAGGGATTTAGTTCGGAGACCTGATGAGAAGTAAAACACTTGAATTTGCACGACACACTCAACACAAGCAGGGGATTGCATCTCCAGGAAGATTTTTTTTAAATGTTGAAGTTAAAAGCATCAATCTGGTGCACTTTGAGAGCAACATGAAGAGATCTATGGATACATCTCTCAACACCCATATGAAACAGAACTGTAAGCAGATTTTTTTCTTTATGGATATTTTACAAATAACTCCCCTTTTAAACTGTATTCTTGTTTATTAATAACAACTTTTTTTTACTGTCATATTAGTATTGTATACCATACCTGTTTACTTTAATCTCTTATTTTTCTATAACTATAATGATCATATAAAGATGTGCCTTTACCTCACTGGTTGTAGAAAAAGCTTCTTATATTCGTTAGCATAGCTAGCTAACCAGATGCTAATAACAACAAAGTTATTGACTGTATGATCAGTATGACAGATGAACAGATCGCCACTGGGCTTTCAACTAAAGACACAGCAACGCAAAAACTGCGTCATGTGTACGGCTCCTTATGGGTACTGCAATTTCTCAAGTCCCGGAGCGGCGTTCTGGCGTTCTGGCGCTCTGGTGCTCTCTGTCAAAACTGCACCCCTGTCAGACACGTCAGGCTCGTGTTGTGTTCAAGGACCCTAATCTTGGCCGGGAAAAACAGGCACTCGCTTTTTTTTTTTTTTTTGCGGTCTAATATTTCTTAAATTTTTTTCTTTTTTGCGTGTGTTTATAAATTACCTCGAGGGCCGTACCAAATGGTCTCGCGGGCCATATACGGCCCGGAGGCCGGAGGTTCCCCACCCCTGCTTTACAGAGATGCTGTATGCGAAACCAATGTGAGTTTGGAAAATTGCACAGTATTTTTCTATTTTAGTATACCTCAACATTGGAATTATGATCAGTGGAAATGGCCATGACATGTGACATTTAATACAGCTGGTAAACTATTAGTAAATATGTTGAACATGGAGTATTTTTGAATAACTAAACATCTTTGGGCATGACTTTCCATATTTCAGTATTTCATAATTGAGGTCAGTGGGGTTCAAACCCAGAGCTCTGCCATTTTCCTATCCTGCATGCTGATGCAATAAGTTGCATTTGGGAATGGAGTAACAAGTTATCCTGGAACAATTAATCTGCAACTATTTTGATAATTGATAGTTTATTACATTGGTGCATTCTTGTATCTTTGTATTTATGTAATAAAGAGCATTGTCCACTGTCCTATTATATTACGTATGTATCATCTGTTTATTTTATTATACATAAGAGATGCATTCAAATTAGGTACTATGTGGTTAATGGTCACATGATTGTTTGTGTTTTAGCCATGACTTCAACATGTGGTCACAGAATTTTATGGATGAATTTACTGTAACATCAATAGTTATATTTCCCGTGGGTTTATGTTTCAGGTCGTATATCCTTTCTGTTGTTAATTTTCATTTTATCAGACAGGGTTCTGACTGGCACTCGACTTCTATAAAAACCATTCGGTTATCCACTTTGATGTTTTTTCACACTCTCCTGGTCCCTGCTGCAGCAACGATTACCTGACCACCCGGCCTCAAAGTGTTGTCATTGTATAATTATGTGCGTTAGGTTTGGGATGAACCATGACGGGATGGGGAATGCCTGCGGGCCCCGCAGCCAGGAGACCGCCAAGCTGATGGCCGACCACATCACCATGAAGACAAACCCATTCATCTGGTCTGCCTGTAGCCGGGACTACATCACCAGCTTCCTGGAGTGAGTCAGCCTATCAGATATCTGCACCACCACAAATCATTTCGTAATCAGAGGTTTGAGAAAAAAAAAAAAAAAGACTTGGTTGTAACATTGGAGTAACATTTCCGATGGTCAGAAAAGACAGACACAGGTAGAAACATCAATTTCAATTTAATTATCTACTTTGTTTTTTTCTCATAATTCATAATCATCATAAATACAACAGTTCAATTATATTTAACTCTCCCTCCTTGTTTTCTGTGCTTTAGCTCAGGTATGGGCTCTTGTCTGAACAACGTCCCCCCGAAGCAGGAGTTCGTGTACCCCACCACAGCACCGGGTCAGGCCTACGACGCAGACGAACAGTGCCGCTTCCAGTACGGAGTCAGATCTCGTCAATGTAAATATGCGGTAAGTGCTCTGGTATAGTTCCTTACTTTACATTAATGCTTGCTCTCAAGTCAGCGAAGAACAATATGTTGACCTATTGATCTAAGCAAGTGTAAGGTCTAACACCATTTTAGTGCAATACTCTAAATTAGTCATGCACTGAAGAGATAATGAGATTTTTTAAAAACTCCTTATTTTTTTGACGATACAATTCTTCAGCCACCCAAGTCAAAGCACATCTTGAATTCTTAATTCTAGACTACTGCAGTTGCTGTTTCAGTTTTTAAGACTGACTTTCATCACTTCTCCAACAGCCTTTGCCAGTTGCACCATTAAAAAGACCAGATGAAAGCTCTTTGATGTTTGATGATAAAAATATTTATTCTTATTCTTTATGATGGTACCAGGCTGACTTAATCCTTCTCTAATAAAGGATTTAATCTTAATTTAAGTTGTTTACCTTGCTTCTCACTTCTTATTGGTATTCCTCCGCCTCTCTCCTTCAAGTTGGTCTCTTTGACAACGTGAAACTTCTTGGAATACATTTGTTGAATTGCATCCACTTTATTGCTTGGTCAACTTTTATGGTGCCAGATTCAGCGGGAATGGACATCTGGAACGGGGTGTATACAGCTTTATAGACTCATTACTATTGATACTATATGGTCAGAGCATATGTACTCAATAAAACATATCCCATGTGTTATAGGCATCACTGTAGAGAGAGCAGGAGGAGGATGAGTGCATCTGCTCTTGTGTCCTCATAATGAGCTTGTAAAGAAACACTCACTGACAAGTTTTCTCTCTTTTTCATGTTTTTATTCTTCTTTCACTCACACGCAGGAAGTCTGCAGTGAACTTTGGTGCATGAGCAAGAGCAACCGTTGTATCACCAGCAGCATCCCCGCTGCAGAGGGAACCATCTGTCAGACCAACACCATCGAGAAAGGGGTAAATACTTACATTATGATTTGAGGGCAGAAGGGGGCCTGTTGCCTGCACAAAGGATACATGTAGGACAACTTTGCTTCTTTCTTTTACAGGGAACTCTTTAGACAGTTTCTATTAAATATTAAACTAGTTTTTTCTTATATGCCAACAAACACTCAAATCTTAATTTAAAGACTTTAATAAAAGCCTTGAATGTACAATGGGAAAAAATAGGTATTCAGTACAGCATTTTAAATTCAAATAGCTTTATTCGTATGACCACTATGAAATACAGCATCTCTGACACATCTTGGCGTGTTTTGTGTCTAAAGCATGATGACCCAAAAAATATAAACATGCTCAACCCTTTTTAAAAGAGAAAATATCTGTTTTAACAAAGTAAATACAACTGGTCTTAAAGTATCCTGTGTAGTATTAAATTCGCTTAACAAACTTTAAAATGTTCGTAACTTCATTGTTTACATGCAAAGTCTATGTATCTGAAGATATGTATAAAAAAATGTGTATTTGAATTGCAGTGGTGCTACAAAAGGGTGTGTGTGCTGTACGGGACTCGTCCGGAGGGCGTGAATGGGGGCTGGGGTCTGTGGTCGCCCTGGGAGGAGTGCAGTAGGACGTGTGGAGGAGGGGTCTCCTCGTCCATCAGACACTGTGACAGCCCCAGGTACAGTAAGGCTCTCAACTGTGACCCCTCTAAAATGCTTTATTTTTGGGGTTTAAGATGAACTTGGATATACAGTATAGCGCATCATTATCTGTTGCCGATATTACATTGTCAAATATCAACTTGAAAGTACTGATCCACATTCCAGACTGTTTCTAGTTCCTCTTGTTGTGAAATACAATTAAAACCCTTTCTTGATATGTATAATTAAAAGTTTTGAGGAATCTTGGTTTAAACATGTGTTCACTTACGATTAAGAAAAATACGTCACAATACGGCCTCATGCTACCTTGGAAATAGAAGAATGATCATTTACCTGCCAAAGGACACTTGAGAACTCAGATAAACCCCCTTATTAGTATAAACATATAAAATCACAGCACAAAGCTCCACGGCTCACATTAATTTACAGGCAACAGTGCCACTTTTTTGTGTGTATAAAACAACTCCGATGAGTCATCACCAAACCACTGGCAGACTTGCTTTCGAATCGCAGTCACCATATCCCTCATCTTGAATTGATTAAACTGAGAATAAATTGATTCAAATCTGAGGCCAACGGTTTTCTTTCTTATCATTTTTGAGAATCATTTGCACATTTGTTTTGGCTCCATTCGGTTCAATTTGCTGAAAGTTGAGCTGAGGTAACTATTCGTCAGCGGCTGGCTCGAGATTTCTTCGCTGGCGTTTTAAAATATGTTTTTATGTAGAGGTGTTGTCGTGCCAGTCTGTAATAGACAATAAAGCAATAAAAGGTACAGACAGTGAGATTGAAAACACACTGATGCAGGCAGACAAAGCAGGGATCAGGAGCCAGTGTTGTGTGGGGAAGTGATGGAGGTTAGAGCTTTTAAATTGTACTCAGATGTGACTGACTTTGTGTTTGGTTGTAGGCCAACTATTGGTGGAAAGTATTGTCTGGGGGAGAGAAAGCGCTTCAGGTCCTGCAATATTGATGTGAGTATAGCTGCTCTTCATCGCCGTCATGGTCAACATACTATAATCTAAAACATGAATATAATTTATTCAATGTGTTTGTGTATGGTATTTTGCATGGGACTCTGGTGTGTGTGTGTGTGTGTGTGTGTGTGTGTGTGTGTGTGTGTGTGTGTGTGTGTGTGTGTGTGTTACAGGAATGCCCTGCAGGCTCTCTGGATTTCCGGGTTATTCAGTGCGCAGATTTTGACAGTGTTCCTTTCCGGGGAAAGTTTTACACCTGGAAGCCATACAGAGGGGGTGAGTAAGTGTGTGTGTGTGTACCTCTTTGCCCTTAACATCTCCCTCTGCTCTATTGAGTGTTTTAGTGTCTTAAAGCTCATTGTTTGGGTTTTACATCCACCTTTAAAATATAAGAGTTCAAGGGCAAATCTAAAGTAGTTTCAGTAGTAGGTTCACACAATCAGATAAAACAAAGATTTGGGCTGAAAGCAAGGGTTGACGGAACACGATCAGCAGTCATGAGTTGGAAGGTGTTGTGTGTGTGTGTGTGTGTGTACGTGTGAGGGTGTTCGTGGAGAGAGAATTTAAGCTGCAGACTGCTTCTTGTCTGGCCTGCAGATGCTGGCTGCAGAGCGCCATGCATTCCCAAAATGCTTTGCGAGAATTTCTCGCTCCTGATGAGCACTGTGCTGGACGCGAAAAAGAAATAGCGACATAACTGCCTTTAATCTATCCCTCCAATAACCTAATGGCTTACAGAGATGGCCGGCCAGCAAAATCCAACTTCAGGCAACAAGTGCTCCTTTCATCAAGTCAGCTGATTTTACAATGGAAATCCCTTGCAGCTGTTAAAATAGGAACGGTGCCATAGACTCTGCCCTGCGTTAAGGCCATATCCCACCGCCCAGCCCCTCTGCAGCCCTCTCACTCTCCTCACATTCTCATGTCAGCTTACCTCCTTTCATTTTTACCCTCTCATTCCACGAAGACAGCTTCCTTTTCTTCTTCTTGCTTTTTGACTTTGTCCTTACTGTTCTGGTCTCTCCTCCTCTCACTTTATTTAGTTCACCATTATGCAATCTCTCTCTGGTGACATTGAGAACAGAGGCAGCCTTTCTCTCTCCGCTCACGCAGCCAAAGACAGTTCATTAAAAAAGGTCTGTTGTTTAAGCTGTTTTTTTTTTTAACAAACATGCTGTCACACATTGCTGTTCTCAGTCCAACAGCTTTTACGTTCAACCTTCACACTCCATAAAACACACCCTGCCGCGAGCCGCGCTTGCCCTGCCAAAGCTAGGCACCATGGGAATTGTAGTTTTCCATGGTCTGACCACTTAATCGTCTACAGGTCATCTCAGTACATGCTCTCTCTCCCTTTTTCTCCATTCCAGTACATATTGTACCTGCTACAGCGCTGCCAACGCAAACAAACACAGCCCAAATTGATGTCAACAGCCACTCAAATAGTGGAGCTGTTGGAGAGCCGCACGGATGAATGAAGGATATATACAACATGGCCAGACAAGACCTCAGAGTGTGTTAGTGCGGGCGTGTGTATGGGAAAATGTGGTATAGTCTTGCAAGTGCAAATCACTCTTAACTGTGTGGGTTTGTGTTATGAATTGTGTTTAGTTATGGATATCCTTTGTCACAGAGCATTTACAAATCACTAGAGATCTGAAAAAATATAGTTATTTGTCTTCTATGATGGAACGTTTTAAATATCTTTGAACTGTTTGGAAACATAAGTGCATATCATTTTGTATGGTTTGAAAACACAAGTTGTTTTAATATGATGTGCTTTTTCACTGGTATGTATCATGTTGGACAATAACAAACATGACCTAAACATTATAGTGGTTACAAAATGATTTATAGATTCACATTTAACCAGCACTGGAAATTCGTTTTTGGTAAATTGGCCTTGCTGCATAATTGAGTGCTGCCTTAGTAAAGTTTAATTTATAAGCTTTTCTGGACTTGAGTAACATTTAAATTATAACTATATGGAAATTGAAAGAGCAACATTTAAATGATAACTTCTTAAATTAAACTTAAATTTTCAGCCTTATCAAAGGGAAATGTAATCTAATATAAAATATAATCTATGTTTCATTATGTTATAGTATTGGATAACTGTCATTGCCATTTGTCCTATATGCCTTTGCCCACATAAACCAGTGCACAAAAAAGTGGGTTGTCACTGGAGTCTGAACCTGGCATTTGGTGCAATTTACTTTCAATTGTTATGTTCTGGTAAATCAATACAACAGCATAGACTAAGAAAATAGGGAACGCCAAAGAACGTTTTGGCCAGAGAACTTGTGCGTGCCATTTGTGGAAATCTTGAAATACATGTCTTTCAATTGAACACTTTTCCCCTGTGACCGTGTGCGTGTTTATAATATTTAGATTTGTGCAGACATACACTACATGTGCATGTGTATTGTACTTGCATCGGGACATGTGCATGCAGCTTTAATAGAATGGGTTGATGTCCATGTTTGTGTGCTATAAATCCGGTATACTGATACTCTGGTGTGCTCCCTGTGTGTATGTCTGTGTGTAGGTGGGGTGAAACCCTGTTCTCTCAACTGTCTGGCAGAAGGATACAACTTCTACACGGAGCGTGCTCCAGCCGTGGTGGACGGCACGCCTTGCCGAGACGACTCTTTGGATGTGTGTGTAAATGGAGAGTGTAAGGTGAGATAAGGCTTTTCCGTGTGTGTTTGTAAGTCTTCATGTAAGCGTTTAATTGAAATAAATTAGAGCCATTAGACATCTGCATGTGAGCAGACAGTTGAAGCTGAAGCAGCAGAATAGAGGATCAACAAACGAATGAGATAATGTTGTTTATACTCGCTCTCCAAACCCTGGATTGCCGCCACTGTGTTGTCTAAACAATGACTGCGGACGATCATCACAATCAGCTGCTTAACTGAGAAATTGTTTTAACTTTGGCAGTGATCTCCCATTCCCATCAACCATGCTCTCTCTTAATCTCGGCTGTTAATGAAAACAAAACATCTAGCTGCTCATTTTAAAGTGAAGACCACCTGGAGGCCCAAAAGGTTCCTGGAACCCGTTTTGGCAGCCTCATGGTCCATTTGTTAAGGGATGTAGACCAAATGAATGGTAATAGCGTGCAGCTAAAATTGATCCACTTGTTGTTTATTTTGGATGTAGCATTTTCCAAAAAGTAAGTTGAATCTTTCGATGGAAAAGGAAAAAATGTGAGGACAGAAGAAAGAAAAAAATCCTGATTTCCAGTGTGTTGTCTTGTGGTTGTCTGAGTGCCAACAAAAATAGTTTTCACCTCCCCTTGTCCTGACTCTTACCCCCCATGATCTGGCTTATTGACGGGTCTCAAAGGTTATGTAAGGGAGGCTGAACTCATCCAAGAGGAGAGTTTTGTTTATCAACATCTCCTCTCTGTTCTCTCCTCCTGCACCGATCTCTCTGATTTCCCCCATGCTTTGCTCTGCTCTGATCTGAAAGAACTCAGTGACCCTCCTGCTCAGCTATTAGTCTGTCTGCACTGCAGGCACGCTTTATTCACTGCAGTTGTTCTCTTTCTCTTTTTTTCTTCCCCTTTCTGACTCTTCATCCATTCCTATCCCTGTTTTTGTTTACTCCACTTTTCTTCTGACTTATTCCACTCAGTCATCCTTCCCATTATTCTTCTCCATCATCTCACCTCTCATATGTTTTATATACACATTTTAAATGAAAATCTAACTTAAAAAACACTAAGGATAAATATCTTCCTTTTTGGTTTCAGTTTTGTGATTGCGGTCTGACAATGATAAGACGGGAGAAACAGAATGAAGTGGATAGGAAAAGGACAAAATCTGCTGCTGCAGACGAAAGGCATGAGTCAGAGCACCTTTTCCCCAGATCTCTTGGACAACATATACAGGGCCAGATTTACTACATCTATGATAATGGTGTTCGACTAACATGTGGCACAGCTTTCAGTCGACTCCTGGACTGCACCTGTTGTTATAAGGCTTCTAGAGACGAGTGAAGTACAGCTCTTAAGTTAAGAGGTGGGATTTGTTTTATGGTCATTTTTATTAAAGAAGGGAAAATGCACATAGATATAAATGAGCACCTATTAACCGTGCCCGGTATTTTGTCAAAAAACCTCATTAAAAAAACAGTGTTTGTTTTCAAAGTATTTACTTTGTCTAACTCTCTCTATAAACATCTTTAGCATATATCTGATATGAATCAAAAATATGCTTCTAGTATGCAGTAAATGCCAAACCAAATGCAAAGTTAAATAAACGCTAATATTTTAGGTGGAGTCTGTAGTGACTTTACACTTTAGTTTAATGAATACAAACCACAACATCCCTACACTTTTTGTTCATTAGTTGTGGTGTGGAAGTTCATTTTTTAAAGCATATATTTCATCATCACAAAAACCCATATATATAAGCCTTCTAATAGTCTAGAGACCTTTATGTTTAAAAACGTCTTACTACCCACAATAAAAAGCCACCAGCCGATACCCATGAGTTGAATCTCAGTTTCAACCCTAGCTTTTTACTTTTGAAATGTGATCTAATCAGTGTAAAAGTAATAATAAACATAAGTCTCATTATCCCTCTCTACAATAAACAACTGCCATATGAATATATGAGTGTGAGCGCTGTTGCCATTCATTGTCTACCCTTTTGTTTAGGTTTGGTTCCCTGTTAAAGAGTTTGAGTGAAACCACCTGCTTCACTCATCATGAAACTTATTTATGTCGACAGCTATGAGTTTAGCAACCTCAGAGCATTAAGTCTGCACAGGATCAAAAAACACATCTGGTCTTACCATCTGATAATTCTGTGTTTTGGAAAAGTGGTCTTGAAGACATTAGAGGTAATCCCTCAGCCCGGCCCCCGACACCTCTCCACTTACTGACTGTGCCCCATGACCCTGACTGACCCTTAAGCTCACTTGTTTCTCCCTTCTTTCAGCACGTAGGCTGTGATCGAGTCCTCGGCTCGGACGTGCGCGAGGATCGCTGCCGGATCTGCGGAGGGGACGGCAGCAGCTGTGACTCTGTGGAGGGACTCTTCAACGACTCGCTGCCCGAAGGAGGTACAGAACTCAAACACTCAAGCACCAGCCAACTCATACATTTTAAATGCTGCCACAGAGATTTCTGCACATATAGATGAAGATGATTTCATGGCCGAGGGAAGATTTGATAAATATTGAAACACCTCTGCTCCTGAGATTCAGATTCAATTAACGGGATGCATTTACTGTGAGAAGTTATTCATTCTATTCGTTTTGTGCACAATCAACATTTGGATTTGAATGCTCTGGACTGTAAATGCATCTTGGAAAGCTGCCTTGCCATGTGAGTTAGGATACCCCAGACATTCAAAGTGTATCACATAATTGTCTGTTCACATGCAACCTCTGTCCACAGCAGCATACTGTTACAGCCATGAGTTAGATAAAGCCAACAGAACTCTACAAAGCTGCAGGAGAATCATTTGTTTCAGCACCTGCTCTGCTAGGAGATCAATTATGTGTATATCCGACCAGTTGACGCAGCCTAGGCTTAAAGTTGGCATTACAGATAATAACAATCGCTAGACTTATCCATCTTTGTGTCTACATTAGTTTCTTCATGACATTTCTTATTATTGTGTTACATAATAACCAACGCCTATAAATTGCTCTATAGTAGTTGTTAGTTCAACTGTCTCATTGTCTGTAAATATAGACTTAGAATAGGGTTGACAGGAAGATATAATTGTATATGATCTGCATATAAACAATGTAATACGTCCACCAATGACATGACCAATGGTAATCTTACAGTATACAAAGAGAAAGATAAAGAACCCTGAATTAACCCTTCAGGTTTCTTCATCTAAAATGAAGCTACCAAGTCTTACATTTCCTTCAAAAATATAAACCATTAAAGAACCAAGTTCCTTATCAGTGCATGGTTATAGAGTCAATTGAATACATTGTTGTAACAATTAAGTGACAAAACAGCTGTAAGGTCAATCAGGGTTACGATTTAAGTAAAGGCCAGCATGGGTTACTAAGTAGAATTTGACAAAATAAATTCGGAGAAGTAAAAACACTCCCTGAAAAACTCTTAACCCATAAATAGACGCATATACAATACCATACGCTGTATATGCATACATATATTTATCCAGCAGCTACCCACGGACACGTGGCAGACAGATTTAGGTGAGGTCGGACCAGTGTGGCTTGAGGTCCAGCTGCTTTTGGATCTATTCTGGGTTTCATTTCTCCCCGCAACACCGACTTCAGAGTTTCTCACCCAACTGTCAACTCACCCCCTTCCAGGATTCCTCGGAAGGGACGCACCCTGAGCCGGCAGCTGTGCTCTGCACCGCAGTGGCCAGGCCAGCCGGTCAACCCCAGCTGAGGTCGCAACTATCTGCCAAATATCTGACATTACTGTTACCCTTAAAAAAAATCCATTAGGAGAGCTGAAGTCAAAGTGTAGGTTGCTGAGTCACGCTTTTCATGATCTGGGGATAGTATTACGTTCAGTGTTTTTATTAAAGGGGGTTTTACAGGTTTACCTGTATTCCTCATGTCAATTACACTGATGTCCTAAAACAGTGAAGTGCTCCTTTAATCAGCTGCAGTCCCAGCATGCATTGCAGTTGTTGCCACCAAAGCGCCAAATATAGATTTAAGTTTTTTTTTAACAAAGACAATGTGCAACTGTTTGGTTTTGCGAGTCTTGGTTCATTCCAAAACAATGGTTATTAATGTGCTGCTATAACAGCTTCTGGGACGGCTTTCCCCTCAAGATTTTGAAACCTGGTTGCTGGGATTTTCTCCCCTTCAGTTGCAAAAGCATGAGTGACGTCCACACTGGTGTTAGGCAATGAGGCCTGGCTTTCATTTATCCCAAAGGTGTTAGCTGATGTTGAAGTCAGGGTCCAAGCTGAAAAGATAGTAGTGTCTATAGGTTTGGCCGTCTAATTACAATGTTTGCCAATACAAACTTAAGTAAAAAGAGGTCACTTAAGTTTACATTACATTGCATTTAGCTGACACTTTTATCCAAAGCGACTTACAGTAAGTACATTCGACCAGGAAGATACAACCTTGAAGAAAACAGAATCATATAAGTACATCAGCCAAACATTTCAAGTGCTACTCAACTGGCTTTAGATAAGCCAGTCCTTTATTAGTATATAAGTGCAGAATTACTAACAAATAACTGCTAACAGAGCACTTATATACTAATAAAGGACTGGCTTATCTAAAGCCAGTTGAGTAGCACTTGAAATGTTTGGCTGATGTACTTATATGATTCTGTTTTCTTCAAGGTNGGGGGGGGGGAAAGCTCCACATACCACAACTCCCAGAACTCAGACATGCATTTGTTTTTTTGAAGACCTCATAATACATCCAGCTGCCAAACAGCATTCCTCGACGCATGCAGACAAAGGAAAATCCTTTTACAGTCACATCACTTTGTTGAGGACAGGCTGAATTAGCAGCAATTATTGCAAGCTAAGTTTTAACAAGTATAATTGATGCATGCACAGAACTTCTTCAAAAATAAAACATGGGAGAAAAGCAGCGCAGATATTTAGTCTCAATCAATAACTCAAGGCATAGTGGTAACGCCTGCTGCAGATTAACTCAACTAAAAGGTGGTTCGATTACTGGACTTTAATCAGATTTCTATCATATTTTTTACTATTTTGTTCGTAGAAACTCTCCGTTTAGCATTTATTTTACTCTCTGCTTTGGTGAACACTCCCATTGAACTGTAAAACATATGACATTACTGTCTCTGTGCATTATAAAAACATCTTTTAGGATTTAAAGAACCCCCTTACTGTGCAAGTTAACTATGTTCTGCTAATTTCTTGCTAAGTGCAACAAATATTATTTTAAAAACATATTACTTTACTGTCAGCATGTTCTGTACGATGAATACACACATCTACTTGGATTAAAAAAGAAACACTCACTGTGACATTCAACTTTTTTTGTTCCCTTTAACTGACACATTATGCATCACTGCTTCGTCATGATGTTATTGAATATCTGTTTTCTCAGAGGTTAACACAACTAACACTCCAATAGGACCATTGTGCGGTCAAATGTTAATACGTTTCCTTCTCTGCTTTAACAAATGTACCCTTTATGCCCGAGGCCAGACAGCAAGTGTGAGCGCCAAGCCATGCGGTCTAAACTTTCACAGACTTGGGCTTCCTCTAATATTCATCTGTGCACATGCAGGACCGCAGAGAGTCAGATGTACTGACTGCGGTTCAGAAGTGTTTCCTGTTTTGGGCTCAACCACAGCCACACTAGTGTCTTATCTTTGCTTTAAGATGGATTGTTGCACACATACAAAACCACTTCAGATTTGTCACTGGTGCCACATTCAAATACAATTGGGTATTTGCCGTCTTGGTGCGTTCATAATTCTGCTCTACACAGCAAAAACAAAGAAAGAAATACTGGTGGAGTTATTTCAGGAGTCTGAACGCAAGCAACAAGCAAACGCTGGATAGGATTAGAAACTTTTCCATATTAAAATGTGGAAGTGGCATTGGTTCAGCCAATATTTACATGTCAATTGTAAAAATATTTGTACCTACCTATTTCCTACATGGGGTGGCAATCACGCAAGAATCCAATATTATTACAATTTTAACCATTTAGTAAATATGGTGCTTATTGCAGTAACATAATATGGGATAAATTGCAATTTGTAACCTTTTTAGTACTGCGAGTTATGCAGTTTGTCAAAATCCGTTTATCAATATCTAATCTAACTTCTTGCCAATCATGCTACATTTTTAAGAGAATGTAAGATAAAGATTAAACAATACTCCGCACCCATGCATTGATACAATATTGCGAACAAATTATAGATACATTTTGTTTACAACCCTTTTTTCCGTTTATGGTTTGCATAGTGCTTTGTTATTTTCAGGGTTCCTGCAGGTTTCACCAACTCAGATTTAAGACTTTAAGACCTTTTTAAGACCACTTTGAAGAGAATTTAAGACCCATTTCATGGCAAGAAAGTATGAAGAAAAATTGCTATGAAAGAAGAAATACGTCCCATAATTACTTACAAAGTAAAATGTATTCATGTTCAACATGAGAACGATGACTGAACATAACCCTTCATGCTGTTGTACGATTGGTGTTTAGCTCGGTATTTAGCGTCCACAGCACCTCCGCTTTTAGGGTTGACGTAGACCCAAACGTCACCCGGAGTTCCCCCGATGTTGTTGCGGGAGCTGCTGCACTAGCTAACGCTGCACTAGCAAAACAAACGCTAATGTTGTTTAAAATAGGTGCAGCGGGCTTCAAACACGTTCCCCTCCACTGGTTTCAACCAAGCACTAAATTCGATGATTTCCAACCAAATACGGTTGAACTTACACTTCCCCATATTTATTTGTAAGTAGATTCGAAGATACCTGAGTTTCTGACTGCCGCTAGCTGAAGATTGGTTGGTTGCTAGGTTGCTAGCTGGGTGTTCTCCGATAAGGGGCCGGGGGAAACAAAGTTGGTGAACACACAAGCACGCGGTTTGATTGGCTGGCATATGATTTGATTGGCTGACGCTTCCGCCGAAGCTTCAAAAGTTGAACATTGCTGAACTTTTGAAGCGAGCAACGCGAGCAAAGCAACGCGAGCAAAGCAACGCGAGCAAAGCAACGCGAGCAAAGCAACGCGAGCAAAGCAACGCGAGCAAAGCAACGCTCCCACAATGCAGTGTGGCAAAGCGTGACGTCATCCCATTCAAAGTGAATGGGCAGAAGCGTTGAAGCTTCACCGCACGCCGCCGTGTGGACGGGCCGTTAGAGTGAAGTTGTAGTAGATTTGGTTGGCATCTAGTTCATACGTAACACTATCCACTTCCATATGCAAACATATTTGTCTTTGTTTTCCACCTCTCTTCTATTTTAAATGCTATTTTGACTGTCTTCAAATCCCAGAAGCAACTTTAATGCTGCCACGACAAAACATTTAACAACCCCATCTCTTAATCTCTGAGAGTGGGTGACCATCAGCCACACAGGGAGTTTCCTCAGGCTCACAACTGTGTATTCAATTGAGGATAAATAAGCAGATGTAGTAATCATAAGGGTGGGGTTGCGTGGGTGTGGTGAGCAGCTACCTGTTGCTGATGAAAACCACATGAGACTGTCTCTTAGTGGAAGTCAAGACAAAAATAGATCATAATCACCGATTGGAATAACTCCGATAAATTCTGTAAATGGCATTTTTCATCACAACTCATTGTAATAACTTCTCAAAGCAAGATCTTTCAGGATAGATAGTTCAGATCTTTTGAAGGTGTCCATTTTAGACTGAAGTTGTAGCCTGAAATGAACCCGTGTTTAGGGTCGGACAGCGTCAACATGCATTATCCAACCTGGCCTCATGAACCTCCTGACCCGGTCTAAAGTGGTTTGGACAGACAACAACAACTATAGGATTACTGCTATACCTGTTTTCTCAGCCATTAGAGGGTCTGCTTTCTCAAAATTGTTGCAAGAGATATTTCTTGTGCAAACAGTGAGACGCAGAGACTAACCAGTCTGGAATAAATGATCAGAAACCAGTGTGAGTAATCCCTTTGTGACTTTAGTGAAAGCTAGAAGTGTGGTTTAATCATGACAGAAGGACAATTGAGAAAAGTCAGAGAGAAAGAACTGCCGGATCACAGCAGATTCTCCTTGATATTAAACCGGTGCATCAGCGTCCCAATCCCCTATTAAACTTGCATGAAAAATACCTTAGTTGTGTTTTAAGTGTTACACATCAGCAAATTGCGTGCTGTGGAAAGCTGGGTTGGTATTCGCCATGACAAAAGATGACAATTCTTCTCACATCCTCAGGGTTTTTCACACCTAACCCTCAGATCCTGACACCTGCTTAACACTGGGCGTGAGAATCCTATTTTAGCCAAGATACACTGATTCATGGAGCCAGCCTCCTGAGTCCTGACAGAGAGCAGCTAAGCATCTTAGCACTCCTGCTAGAAGACAGGTCATGAGGAGTCCAATATGATAAAAGTATGTGGTGGTTAGCTTTAGGACCCCAGGTTGTTAGCTTAATTTATTAATTCCTAGGAGAGCAAACAGCTGACTTGAATGTCAATAACTGTTTTGTTTGGTTGGCTAACACAAGATAGAGTCATTCAACTTAAGTCAACACAATGAGACAAACTCAAGTATGCAAATGAATTCAACAAGTGGATTTGGTGCCCGTTTGTGTGTGATCACCCACCTCAACATCCTGCAGGCTGAAGTCGTTCTGGTCTTTGAAGTTGGCGGCCCCGGCGCTCAGCTCCATCAACATCTTGGCGATCTCGGGCTTTATTGCTGCAGTCAGCCGGCTGGCCGCCTCCATGACGTGTTCCTGCACGTCCTTCAGTTGCATAGCTGCTTTGGAATAGTGAGAGTTCCTGAACACACTGCTGAACAGGTCTGTAAGGAAGGCGCTGGCCCGGCAGAACACGTTGAGAGCATCCAGATATTTGGAGATGCCTTGCTGGATGTCTGCAACGGCGGTGGTTGTGCCAGAGGGAGGCGGGTGGCAGCTGCCCGGCATCCCCCCCCCGCCGCCCAGGGGCGAGGAGGCGGAGCACGAGGAGGCCAGCGAAGCGCTCAGGGTCCGGCTCAGCTCAGGCATCTGGTACTGCTGGTGCTGCTGCTGCACTTTCTGCTTGGACCCGCCGAGCAAAAAGCGACGCTTGTAGTCCATTTTACTTTCCTGCGCACTACAACAATACATAGGTGGTGCAACAGCACCGGAAACTTTTTTTGTTCGTTATCTCGGAAAGTTCTCTTGTCCTCTTTACAAAAACACCAAGCTCAGTCCACAGTCCTGAAACTGTTCAAGTTATGTAAAAAGACAGCTCAAGGATTCCACCTGCCAGAGGCTCATCTCAGTGCGCCTGGGGCAGCAGAACTGGGAGAGGTCAGAGGGCGATCAGAAACAGCCCGGCTGCAGATACTTCAGGCCCAGCTTAAAAAACAGCACACACACACACCTCCAGATTCTCTGTTTCCAGCTTCTAACACAATTATCATAATAGGGGGGGAAGTCAAGAACAACTTAAAGTGAAACTACAGCTAAGTTTTAAAGTGCATTAACTTTCCTTCACAAAGGGGGGTGAAATCCTTCGTCATGCAGTACATAGAGTATATACACGTATGCATGTACAGATATAAACCTATACCGGCCTGCACTAATAAAAGTAGAAAATCCTTTTAAAAGCAAAAATGAAGCCAAGGAAAATCAGACACTGGTCAACAGCACGGAGGGGAAATGACAGTAATAAAAAAAACAAGTGAGTGACTGCTGGAATCAGAGGATGTGGTTTCTGTGGGAGGTGAAGGGCAGACAGATCCAGTCCGTCTGAAATGGTCTTCAGAAAGCAGGACTCAGTGAGCGAGCGGCTGAGAGCTCCTTCTGCCCGACTGAGGTCTCCAGCAGCTTCCTGGCTGAGGTAGATATTACTCACCGCGGAAACAAGTGTGCTTCCAGATCTCGCTGGTCCCCGCGGACGCAGATTGGAGCGACAAAAGCACAAATGTATCTGTAAGGCCTCTAGGTCATTTCCTAAGGGAGGACAAACACAAAGGAGAGGGTTAGCATCATGTCAGAGAGGAAGGACGAGCTTACTTTCAGTTGTTATGTTACACCACTAAATAAACTGGACTGATAGATGCGCTGTTTCTTTACTCGACTTGTAGCATTCACCCAACTTAAGTTTTAAAGACGAGCCTGTTTGCGAGAAACTGAAATGTATATTGTCAAATAATAAAAGACGCAGCTTTAAATTATTTTTATTATTAATGTATCTTCAGATCAGCGTTTCCGCCAGGGAGGCGTCATGCCGTCATTTGAAAAAAAAAAACAATTCGAGAGAAGATCGAGTTTTTATCCCATCACTAATACGTAAAGAGATAGTATCTATAACTTAAGGGACAGCTCAATTCAAAGTCACGTGACATGACGTGACATGACGTGACGTCTCACACACACCCCCCCCTCCCAGCTCTCGGGGTGGACGCCCTATCAGCACTGGTCTGGCGGAAAAAGTGCTTCAGATTATTTTAGAGATTAAAATATGAGTTGTTTGGTCAATAAAATGTCAGAATATGATGGAAAAAGCCAATTGCAGTCGTCTAGTTTTGTCAGTTTTCAGCTCGCATAAACAAAAAGGGAGGAAACCCTAGTTTTGGAGAAAAAAAGTAATCAAGAAGAATCAACAAGTGATATTATGAAATCTAAATGTGATTTATCAAATGTTGTAGTGACAGGAGATATGGCTTCCAGTAACTGCTAGAATCCACTTCAAGACACTGGTACTTGCGTACCATGCTGTGAATGGATCTGGCCCTTCCTACATCCAGGACATGGTTAAACTGTACACCCCAGCGCGTGCACTTCGCTCTGCATCAGCCAAACGGCTTGCTGCACCCGCACTGCGAGGGGGACCCAAGTTCCCATCAGCAAAAACACGTGGGTTTGCTATCCTGGCTCCAAAATGGTGGAATGAGCTCCCCATTGAAATCAGGACAGCAGAAAGCTTACACATCTTCTTCAGACTGAAAACTAATCTCTTTAGACTCCACTTCGAGCGATATAATTACTAACAAAGCACTTATATACTAACAAAGGACTGGCTTATCTAAAGCCAGTTGAGTAGCACTTGAAATGTTTTGGCTCTATGAAACCTGATGTACTTATATGATTCTGTTTTCTTCAAGCTTGTATCTTCCTGGTTGAATGCACTTATTGTAAGTCCCTTTGGATAAAAGCGTCAGCTAAATGCAATGTAATGTATGAATAGTCCTATGGGAAGTCTAGCAGTGATTTTCCACGATCTAACGGGCTTTTACTTGTTTAGCTTTCTCTGCTTTTATTTTAAAAAGTCTTAGAGGAGATAAACAACTTCCTGTGATCCTGCCGATGTCCCATAATGTTAAGAGTCTTGTCAGTTTCAC